AAGTTGAACTTCATTAAAATTTAAAACTTCTGCTCTATGAAAGACACTGTATATTAGGATTCTGCAGAGAAACTACCAAAAGGATGGATGGATAAGATAAGATAAGATAAGATAGATTTATTATAGGGATTAGGTCATGTGATTATGGAGGCCAAGAAGTCCCATGATCTGCTTCCTGTAAGCTGAGATCCAGGAAAGCCCATCATACAACTTAGTCCAAGTTTAGAGGCCCAAGAACCAGGAGAGCCAATGTTGGAGTTTTTTTGTTTGTTTCTTTATTGAAGTGTAGTTGATTTACAAGAAATTGAATATAGTTCCCTGTGCTATACAGTAGATCCTTGTTCTTTATCTATTTGTATATAGTAGTGTGTGTCTGTTAAACCCAAACTCCTAATTTATCCTTCCCCTCATTTCTCCTTTGGTAGCCATAGTTTGTTTTCTATGTCTGTGAGTCTATTTCTGGTTTGTAAATAAAATTTGTCTGTTTTTAGACTCCACATATAAGTGATACCATATGTGTTTGTCTTTCTCTGTCTTATTTCACTTAATATGATAACCTCTAGGTCCATATATATTGTTACAAACGGCATTATATTAATCTTTTTTTGTCAGAAGAGCCAATATTTGAGGGCAGGAAAAGAAGATGGATGTCCCAACTCAAGCAGAGAGCAAATTTGCCCCTCCTCTGCTTTTTGTTCTATTCATGTCCTCAATGGATTGGATGATGCCTACCTGAACTGGCGAGGGCCACTAATACTCAGTCTACTGATGATGCTAATCTACCCCAGAAATACCTTCACAGACAAATCCAGAAATGTTTTACCAGCATCGGGACATCCCTTAGCCCCGTCAAGTTGACACATAAAATTAACCATTACACACTGTTAAGAGAATGAAAATACAATCCACGGACAGGGAGAAAATCTTTGTAAAATACATATCAGATAAAGAATTGATATTCAAAATATACAGTTGGTTCCTAAAACTCAACAGTAAGAAAACAACCCAATTTAAAAATGGGCAATAAATCTGAAAAGACACCTCACCAGAGAAGAAATACAGATGACAAATAAGCATATAAAAGGTGCTCAACATCATCTGCCATTAGGAAACTGCAAATTAAAACAATGAGATACCACTGCACACATATTAGAATGGCCAGAATCCATCTGACAACAACACATGCTGGCAAGGATGTTCAGCAACAGGAACTCATTCATTTTTAGAGGGAATGCAAAATGGTGCAGCTACTTTGGAAGACAGTTTCATAGTTTCTCACAAAGCTAAATGTACTCTTATCATGTGACCCAGCAGTTGTGCTCCTTGGTATTTACCCAAAGGAGTTGAAAATTAAAAATTTCTGTCCAAACAAAAACCTATACACACGTGCTTTAATCATAATTGCCAAAACTTGAAAGCAACCAAGAAGACCTTCAATAGGTGAATGGATAAAACAAACTATGGCACATTCAGACAGGGGAATATTATTCAGTGATAAAAAAAAATGAGCTCTCAAGCCACAAAGGACATGGAGGAAACTTAAATGAAAGAAGCCAATCTGAAAGGGTTACATACCATATGATTCCTTGGAAACAGTGAAAAGATCAGCAGTTGCTAGGAGTTAAGGGTCAGGGGTTGAGTGCTGGAGGAATCAGTAAGTGGAGTACAAAGGATTTTAAGGCAGTGAAACTGTTATTCTGAGTAATACTGTAATGGTAGATATGTCATTATACCTTCATCAAAATCCATAGAAGGTACAACACAGAGTGAACCAAGACTTTAGTTAATAATGTATCAATATTGGCTCATCAGTTGCAACAGTTGTACCACACTAATGCACTATGCTAGTAGGGGATGAGGGGCAGCCAGGAGTTTGGGAGCTCTCTGTTCTTTTTGCTTCTTTTTTTTTTTTTCTGTAAACTTGATACTGCTCAAAAAAAGTTTATTATTATTTTTTAATCCCCTTCAATTGTTTTTAGTGGGATTTTGGGAAGGAATAGAATAGATGTATGTGCTCAACTGCCATCTTATATGGAAAGTTCTAGAAAACCTTTTTATTTTTAAGATTAGTGTAAATAGTAAAATATAAAATAACCTGCTTTGAGTTTGTACATATATATTATCTAATAATCTAGCAGTGCATTTTATAGATAGTTGTCATTAAGTAAATTTAACCCAAAGTAAGTTTAGCTACTTTAATAATTATTTGAGCAGTTTCTCTGAGGAATACAGTTATTAACTCATCAAAAGGATTATAACAGAGATGACTACATTTTTGTGCAATATTTTATTGTTATTTAGTGTAGTGTACTGTTTTAAATCTTCCCATAACAAATACGTAACTATTTTTCTTCTAGATAATATAATCACTTTTTAGCCAACAAATCTTTAAGGACTATGACAGCAACAATTGATACAGTGAAAAATAACATTAAAAGGAATAAGTATTATAACAGAGAACTAAAGAAAGGTCAATATGACTCTTAAACTGTCAGAGATCTCTTTTCTTCCTCTCTCTACTTGTGCTAGGCCTTTAGGATGGAGGAGTTCCTCCTGCCTAGGAATCTGTGTCCCACTGGTGAGCTCTGTGTAGTCTCATCTTTCTTGGGTCCAATTAAATCTTCCCAGGCCATTTCTTTCTCTATTGTAATCCATCTTACATCCCACCATAAGATTATTTTTAAATTTATTTATTTCTAAATTTTTAGTTGTGGTAAAATACATGTAACATAAAATTTACCATCTTAATCATTTTTTAGTGGTGTTAAGTATGTTCATATCATTGTAATACCAATCTTAAGAACTTTTTCATTTTGCAAAACTAATACTATACTCATTAAATAACTCCCCATTTCTCCATCCTCCCAACCCCTGGCAACTACCATTCTACTTTTTGTTTCTATGAGTTTAACTACTCTAGATACCTCATGTAAATGGACTCATAAAATATTATCTCTTTTGTGACATTTAGAATAACATCCTCAAGATTCATCCATGTTGTAGCTTGTGTCAGAGTTTACCTCCTTTTTAAAGCTGACGAGAGTACATTGTGTATATATATACCACATTTTGTTTATCCATTCTCTCGATGGACATCTGGGTTATTTCCACCTTTTGGCTGTTGTGAGTGATGCTGCTATGAACATGGATGTACAGATAACTCAAAAAATTTTTGATCATATTGAGTCCTCAGTGATTCCGTGTTGCTTACTGATTAATATCCAGATTTAATCTGCTATTCAAAACCCCCAAAATTTTGGTACCAAGCTACTTCTCACTATATTAAGCTGTAGGATACAAAATCAAATAAATTCATCAGAACTGTAACTAAAACAAAAGCCAAATCACGTGTGACTTGCTATCTAAAGTTACTCCTCTGAATAATATGAACTTTGAGTCTGGGCTTTGTTAAGGGTTTTGGCTATTCATTGATCTTATTTTATGTTTTGGCTACTTTCTAGAACTTTTGGCTTACTTCGCTATTGCCCTAGAACTGTAAAGGTAACTCCAGTGGGAGGGCAGGTGAGTGGATAAGTAGACAGGTACCAGGTAGATGTGTTTATAAACTGTCTTATAACATGACCCCAGCTTGCTAAGAGTGCCCCAGAGGTATAGAGGTATCCATTGCAGTCCTCCTCTGCCATCTCCACCTTGGGAGTACCTTTTTTAGCCAAGAACTTCATAGTAGTCATGTATGTGGTTTACAGAAGTGGTTTTTGTGACCTGTAATTGTGTATTAGTTAATTGTGAATTTTCTGCCTTCCCCATTAGATGATAGGCCTAGTTAGAGTAGAGACTAATTTTTTCTATCTTATCTTTTTCACCACTGTGTCTCTAACATAGCGTCAAGCATAGTATATGGCATGAAGTAGATTCTCAAATGTTTGAGAAAAGAAAGGACTGACCAGAGTTGAGACTGAATATTTGCCATATTAAATATGGCAAATTAAAATATTTGGAATTGTAAAAAGTTTAGAAATATGACAAAAGAGAGGGATGAAAGCTTCAAGGCAGAAAGCTAGGGTACATGTAAACTGCTTGTCTTTCCCAGGTAGTGTGGGATCTGGTAACAGTGCTTCAAGGAAGCAAAAACTGTCTTCAGAAAGATAAAAGAATAAAAAGATCTCTCCTTGGTCAGTGGCAGTTTGTCAATTTCTAGTCTATCATGGAAAACACTCCTAAGAGCTTTTTATTTTTCCATTTTGAAAGATATATATGTTCACAGCAGTATATATATTTTAGTCATTGATTTATTGACTTTTAAAATTCATCTTGGCAAAAACTTTGACCAGAACATAAAGCAGTACCCAGTAAATTGCTTTATAAGGAATTTGTTCTGTTCAATTATCTAAAAAAATTAGATAATTCCTAAAGGTTACTTTTGAAATACAGATTGTTCTCAGTTGAGCATTAACAGATAATAGTCATAGAGCTGAAGATCTCTTAACTAATTTTTCTGTGACTCAGTGGATAATTTAATCATATAGTGTTACCCAGACCCTAAAAAAAATTCCAAATTTTCAGTCATATTCTTCAGTTTTCTTTATTTCACACAATGGAAATTCAGTTCACTATTTGGCAGAAGGTTTTTTTTTGCCTAGCAATACCATATACCAGAATTTTCTAAGTACTTAAAAAAAATTAGTTCCTTGTTTACAATGTACCTATGAAATTCAACAAACATGCTTTCCATTTCTTGGACATGGAAATTGAGACAAAGTGAAGTGTTCTACTATAGACACAATACTATAGATACAATAGGTTCCCTCTTCTTAAGTCATTACATTAACACTGAAACAACAGACCTAGCAGTTAGTCTTTCTGGTGATCACCTTTCCATATATGGATTTCTCTGGAATTGGAGCGTAAGGAATTAAGAGAAAGTATTTATATTCTAGAATGTAAAATTAAAGTAGATTTTCAGTTATGTATGTTTAACCCTGGCAGGTTTGATGACTTCTGATCTAGCTCACTTTTTTTTTTTTTCTTTTTCCACGCAGATTGATAGAGCTACATTCTCCTGATAGCAGGAACACGTTGATCCTACGCTGCAAGGATACAGCCACAGCACACTCCTGGTTCGTAGCTATCCACACCAACATAATGGCTCTCCTCCCACAGGTGTTGGCTGAACTCAATGCCATGCTTGGTGCAACCAGTACAGCGGGAGGCAGCAAGGAGGTCAAGCACATTGCCTGGCTGGCAGAACAGGTAGGCTGGGAGGCAGAGCAGGGTCTCACTGAGTCACCATTCAGACCCAGGATAGTTCCCCCACTTCATATATCTCTAATATTTATCATGCAGTCAGGTCCTAGATGTCCAGCTTGCAGCTCTTTTGTTAGTCAGTCTTCGGTTTCTTCTCCCTGCCATTTAGCTATTTGTTGCTAATTATCACCTCTACCAGAAGAATTGACTGTCATGATAACCATCATCATGATGTAACTAGGAAGAGGTTCTTATTAACATCTCTGTCCTTCACGACTGAAGATAATTTTCATGATTTTAGAATAGGATCAGAAAACTTCTTCTGAAAAGACCAGATAGTGCCACGACTACTTGACTCTGCCATTATAGCAAGAACACAATCATAGACAATTTGAGTGTGAATAGGTATGTCTGTGTTTCAATAAACCTTTATTTACAGAAACAGGTAGGGGGCTACATTTGGCCCTGAGGTCATCGTTTCCCAGTCCCTGTTCTAGTCTGTCGACAGAGTTTCAGGGGCAACAGGCTTATTACTCCCTTGGTCTCGGAAAAGTGTAAAATATACACAATATTTTATACGCCATTAAACACACGTATAGTTTTTTTGTTTGTTATGTTTTGTTTAATATTTTATTTTATTTGGGGGGAGAGGTAATTAGGTTTGTTTGTTTGTTTGTTTATTTAATGGAGGTACTGGGGATTGAACCCAGGACCTTGTGCATGCTAAGCACACACTCTACCACTGAGCTTTACCCTCCCCCTGAACACATGTATAGTTGTCCTCTACAACTGAAAAATGGAAAGAAGAGAAACAAGAAAACCTAAGTGGATGTTGGGTGAAGGGAAAGGAAGAACATAATCCAAGTTATCTTAGATCCCAAGTTTGACAAAAGAAAGACTAAAAGTTCTACATGATATTAGAGTACACCCTTTTTCTTTCGGTCCTTCACTATCAGCTGGGCCAGAGGTAGCTGAGAAGAGAAGACTGGACTAAGGATTCAGAGATGAGTGTTCAAGGGCTAGCTCTATTTTTCACTGGTTTTAGATCTTTTAAAAAGTTCCTTCATCTCATTGAATCCTAGTTCCTTCATCTCATTGAATCCTAGTTCCTTCATGTGTACAAGGGGGCAGGGATTACATAGTATCAGCCCAGTGAGGTTTTGGTCTTTTGTTTGTGTTTTTGTTTGTTTTGTTTAAGTAGTTTCCCAGGTCTGGCTCCCTAGCTCCACCTCAACAGAGTTACGATTTGGTAGATCTGTGATGGGGCATTTGGTAGCTCCTCAGGTGATTGGTGTTGTGGACCATTTTTGGACTCCACTAATCTTTTTTTCAGCTTTTGAGATTTTTATGAACATTTCAAATAATGATTATAATAAACTAGAACACAGAATTAGAACTGTGATGATTTCTTGGAAACACTAGAATAACTAAGCAGAAGAAACTAATGAAAATCATATATAAGTATTTATGACTTTGAAAGTTTTAGTAGTTTAGTATGCTTATCATTGTTTCCATATTTTTATATGCTGGTTGAAAAACTCAGTTGAGTGGTAATTGTTCTGTGCTTTCAGCAATGTTAGAAACTTTCATGATTTTAAAAAGATAATATGATTCACATGGTTCAAAGGTCAGAATAAAAAGTTAGTAAGTGCAAAGTCTTACTCTCCTGGTCCCCTATCCAAAGTGAAAAGTCTTCTGGTCCCCCATCCACCTAATTCCTGTGCCCTTGCCCGCAGAGAGATAATCACTTTCATTCCTTTCTAGTGAATCTTTTGAGAGTTTCTTTGTGCAAATAAAAGCAAATATAAACATATGTTCTTCTTTTTCTCTTTTGTAAAAGAAGAGCATATTATGCACACTGCTTTATACTTTTCTCCTTTTTCTTTCGTTAGACAATGTATCCTGGAGATCTTTTCATATCAATGCACAAAGAGTATTCTTTTTTTTAAAAGAGAATAATTTTTCATTCATGCAAATGTTGAAAATGACTAAGTTTCAAGATCATGTTGATCTGAAAAATTTTTTCAGCTACAGTGCTTTGTTTTTTACAACTGTACAGTTTTCCATTGTGTGGCTATAGTTAAATAAGCACTCCCCCAGTTTTGTTGTCCTAATCTTTTGCCATTACCAAGAATGCTACAGTGAATAACCTTGTAGTTTGTCCTTTCACACATGTGCTATCCAAACTCTTTGGTTCCCAATTTCAGATAGATCAGATAACAAGGAAACACATTATCTGAATGTATTTGGTTCTTAAGTTTTTGATAGTGAGCTTGGATTGTTAGAGTTCATAGAACAGGGGATATTTCTATACTTATAGGATAAATCCCAGAAGTGTTGGGTCAAAGGGTCTATTAGTTATCTATCGCTTTAAAACAAATTACCCCAAGATTTAGTGGCTTTTAAATAACATTTACCTCCCACAGTTTCTAAGGATCAGGAATCTGGCAGCAGTTTAGCTGGATAATTCTGGCCCAGGATCCTTCATGAAGTTGCAGTCAAGCTGTCAGCCAGGATGGCAGTCATTTGAGGGCTTGACTGGATTGGCAGGTTTACTTACAACATGATTTGGACACGAAGCTATTAGCGGAAGTCCTCAGTTCCTTGCTATGCAGGCCTTTCCGCAGGGCTGCCTGAGTATCCTTGAGACATTGTTGCGAGTTTTCCCCAGAGCAAGTGATCTGAGAGAGAGAACAAGATGGAAGCCACAGTACCTTTTATGACCAAGTCTCTTTTGCTCTATTCTTTTCATTAGAGGTGAGTTACTAAGTCCAGTCTATACCCCAGGGCTCCACTTCTTCAAGGGAAGAATAGTAAAGAATTTGTGGACATATATTTTGTGGACATGTTTTTAAACTACCACAAATGGTTTATGCATTTGTCATTTTGATAAATATTGCCAAGTTGTCTTCCATTAGGTTGAACTAATTTACATTCCCACCAGCAATGAATGAGAGTTGCTAGACTTTTAAAGTAAACTTAATTTGGTTTATGCTACAAACAGACAAGTAGAAAGGAGAAAAATAAAGCCACCAATTCATCACAGTCTGCCCTTTATGGACCATATTTAGTGTATTTCCTCCACTCAGTTGTGAGCTCTTGGAAGACAGGAACACATTTTTTCCAAATCTTTCACTGCCAGAGAACTTAGCTTAATGCTTTGTATATAGTAGATGTTCAGTAATTTTTTTCCTTTGTCTACATATATACATGCAAAAAGCAAGCAAACAAGTCATTAGTGATAAAATATTGTCAAGAACACAAGCTGAGGGTTGGGAAATAATACCAAGTAGAAAAGTTTCAACTTCTTTAAAAATAATAATCACAAAACTAATCCAAAGTGCTATTTCTAAAATACTCATGATTTTTACTTTTTTTAAGTAGTTGTTTGGGTTACCCAAATCAAATATCACTCAGAATAAGATATTTAAGCAAGACTGAATACCATTTCTCAGAGGTATTATAATAAGCTTATGTATCTGATAAAGGTTCTACTGGGTAAATGCCAAAGCCTTTTCTAACTATAAGATTGTTTAATTGTATGAGTATGAAAATGGTCAAGATAATTTTAGATCATATAATCTGTTTAAAATAGGTAAGCATTTATTTTAGCAATAGATGTATTTTCTGAAAAGCTTGCACATAAATGAAACTTTCAGTTGTACTTAGAAAAGGTAGTCATTTGGGGCAGATAAATTAAGGAGAGGTCATTTATTTAACCTTAAATGATCTCTCCTGGATTTATCTTTTTTTTTTATTATTTAACATTGTCATGAATTGAGTTTGCTTAAAATAGGGAAAACCTATGCTGCAGATATTTGGTAATCAATAGGTAATCTGTTCTGTGCAAGAGACTTCTGTCTCTTTATTGATATTGATTTTAATGTGACTGATAGTTTACCTTTTAGTTGGTTATATTCTGAAAAGGGAATTTTCTTGAAGTCCACCAAATGGAGGGACATACATTATCTACAAAATAAGTATTTTTAAGCATTTAAGTATTGATTGGAAAAGCCAAGGCAGCCAAAGAAAGCTTTGTTTCCACAGTTCCTACTTTGTCCCTGATTATTCTTAAAATGTGTAAAGATTCAAATTAGGAACATATACACTAGATCAGGGTTAGTGGAATGGTTTATTTTTTTGCTCCATGTTTTTTGTATCTTCTGATGTACAGAAGTACATCATCTGTCAAAAACGTAGATTTATAGGATTAAGGATTTAGGGAATGAATAATAACTGACTAATTTTTTATCTTTAGTGCTATTCAACTCTATCCATTAGAAAATAAAAAAATTTGGAGAAGGCTGTTCTTTGGCCAGGTGCATGCATGTGTGGATGTTGAAACACAAGCAAACCAGAACCCTAACATTAGTGTTTCTTTTTCCTCTGACCAAAAATTGAATAGTAGAGCCCCAAGGCTGTTTATACTGATACCACAACCAAAAACACATACTATATATAGTAGGCAGCATTTTGACTCCAGTGAAAGCAAACAGTATCCTTATAAGTGAAGGCAAATAGGCAAACAGAATGACTTAAACTGAGATTTCATTTTTCTCCAGTGGTAAGTAGAAGAGGGAAAAGATACTCTCCAAAAACTAAGGACTCAAAAGAGCTAAACACTTTTTAAAAATTGTTAATTGAACAAAAAGTTTTCCATCTTGAAATTAGACATTGCTTCTATTGGCATTAGCAGTTTTCCTTTAGCACCTGGTATCTTCTTTGAGAAGAAATATATTTAATTTAGGCTTTCCAAATGTATATGTTCTGATCTAGCCTTCAGAATCTCTCTCTTATAACTTAGCAAAAATACTAATTTAAGAAAATCAGATCATCATTTTATCCCTTCGGGAAGATAGATTTTTATGTTATTTACATATTGAAATACTATCTATAACAATCACACAGACAAAAACTTAGTAGTGCACATAAATGAGAAATCCCTTCAGGATATCTACAACCCAAAAATGTGAGAATCTGAGAGAATCTTGTTAGAGCTGATACTCTTCCTCCAGATATTACAGTTAACCCCAAGACCAATATAGAGTCTTAGAAATCTTGGGTTTACCAATAAGGAAAATATAATTATTTCTACCATACTTGGCTTAAATTCTCAGTCAGGTCATATATTTTGTGCTTTCAGTACATGGTCAAACATGGATAACTTCGCTGACTGGAATTAATTTCCCACTCTTGCAATCAGCTTGTGTCTCTAGCTAGGAGAAAAAGTCCTGGTGGTAGATGGTACAGTGCAGAACTGAACTACTCAGGCTACTTTTCAGATTATAGACGTTTTGTTAAGGTCCCCTGACACATCCGTATTACCTTCAGAAGTTATTAAGGAAGAGAAAATAAAAAGTGGTTCTGAAGACAACTAAGAGACAAATGATTCATCAGTTTGAATTGGCCTTGAAGGTGTGAGTGATAGTAAGCTGAAAGTTTAGTGTTAAAATAATCTTGTTGTTAAGCATTCCCCAAAGGTCTCAACTTAGGAAAGCAAACATTTGATGATAACCAGGGCTTTTCTTGAACACAGCCTTTTGCTTTTTGGCCTTGGATCCTTGACAGTATGTTTAAATGGTAGTTGTTTGCCTATTTTTTAAAACCCTCACAGAGATAACTTGAGCTTTATGCAGTTAAATGCAATGGTAAATTTGAAACTGAAACATAAACTTCCTGAAATGTAATGGGGAACTCTTTGACAATAGTTTATATCAGTGTTTTCCAAAATACAATGTAGTAGGTCGTATCAGCATTTTAAAAAGATAGAATAGAAATTACCAAAGTATGTTGCACAAAGTATAGGGAATTTTTTAATTCAATATTTACATGTGTGTTTTGAGCTGCAATGTAAAAATGTATTTCCTATTGTAGGTCTTGATCAAAAATATTTGAAAGACACTGGTGTTTAGATTATAGACTTATTTAGTAAGAGTTTCTATCCTGTATTTAGAAGATGTTACTCCCGCATTGGATATATTAAAACTATTGTCATTTTGAACAGATTACCGCATATTTAATTATAATTGATGATAATTAGTTATTGTGGAATAGGGAAGAAACTGTCACATCGTTAGAAAACGTCTGTAACTCATTCAGGGAGAGCTTTTTCAAACTACGTAATCTACCGCACTCCTCCCAGTGAAGAATCCCTGCCAATGGGAAGGAACTTGATGGGATGTCTTCCTTTTCTCATGTCTGTTAGATGGGAAAACAAAATGGAGACCCGCTATGTTAGGCCATCACTGAAGGGACTTTTACAGGTGTATATCACTATAGTTAGCTCTGCTCTCTGGATTTCACCATTGTAACAGGCAAAACTAGATGGTGGAAGACAACAATGGAGACCTGTCCTCATGGCTGTGACTGAGAAGGATTTGCTGCTTTATGATTGTATGCCATGGACAAGGGATGCCTGGGCGTCACCATGTCACAGCTACCCTCTTGTTGCCACAAGGTAAGAAAGACAAAAAAATAAAATACCTATCCTGCTCTAAGTCTACTAAAAGAATTTTAAAATGAATTTTGTTATCCATTAGGTTCCTAAAATAGCATTTAAATAGTTGATGTAGTTAATTTAGACAAAAACTTTTCTTTCACAACCTTACTGTTTTGCAGCTCCTAGCTCAGTATAAATGGTTTCTGTCACTAGTATTTTTGTGTGTATTTTTTAAGTTGCTGAAGCAGTTTCCTAACTGTTCCTTTCAGGACTTGCTTAGTCATGAAGATAAGTAAATAGTGGGGTTTTTTCCTTTACTTTATTGACTGTGACTAGAAAACCACTGAAATTGTGGCAGCCTTTTTACTGAGTGATGAAATCATTTAAACCAGAATGTGGTATGTGAATTAAACCACGCAAGTCAGCCAAAATATTCTTCAACTTTTCTTTCTAGTATAAGAGTACATAATTTTGATTCCATCAAATAAACATTAATTTGACCTGAAGCAACAGGATGTTTTTAGCATGCCAGATGTGGGGAGTTGGAAGGGAAAAGAATAGAGAAATATAGATTTGGGGGCCAAGATGTCTTAAGAACAATTAGAAACTAGTTATTTAGTGTGAAACTAGAAAATATATTCACATTCAGTGTTACTTGTGATTAAAAAAGAATCAGATTTTGATATAACTCAAAAATTTCTCATTAAAAAGGAACCCCACAGAAAAGTATTTGATAATCAAAAATGCTAAATGATGGAATCATCTGGTATGTCCCACAGGGACCAGTGTGGAGGTTCCTGCTTTGAGCAGACAAAGATTCATGTGAGGAACAGTGTTCTTTATATTACAGGGAGACTTTCACATTATATAGGATTTCCTCCAATTTGCCAAGTTCCCTTACATATATCATTCTTTTTATAAAAGTATAATTTTCACATAGCTTTTTAGGAGTTTCTCTGTAATTTAGAGCTGGAGCACTTAAAGCACACAATAAAGAGTTTATTGAGCTTCAGAGTTAGGGAGGTGTGCCCTGATTAATTCCTTCAGGACATAAGGGTCCTGCAGAAGGACTGAATTTAACCATCAGTTTCTCTGTTTTTGTTTTTGTTTTTAATCCTCACTAAATTATAACCTCCTTGAGGTCAAGAACTATGACTTGGTCATCTCAGCATTTCCCATAATGCTTTGCATACAGTAGGCCTTCAATAAATCTTAGTTGAGGTAAATTCTATTACTTAAATTACAGTTTCTCTGTCATGGTTACATTCAGAACATGACAGGAATCCTGTGAAAATGTGTACACATCTCATAGATAAAATTAGAGCAATTAAATTTGTATTTTCCAAAGATTTAGAGCTTATGAATATGACTATAGAGATCACATAAGTTTAAATTTTACAGAAGACGCTTATGCTCCAATTATGATTATGGAATGCAAGGAGGGTAGCTTTATCCTTAGATATTTCCTTAACTGTGTGTCACTGGAGAGAGAGTGCAGAAGCCTGTGACATCCCCTAGATGAGCCTTTGTTCAATACTAGAAATTACAATCCCAGAAACAGATAATTTCTGGCCTTTGACTAGACTGGGTCTAGACCATCAAGGTACTTTGGTACTAAAGAAGGAAACAGGATGGTTGTGTGGGTACAATCAGTGTGGTATTAATTTGCAACTAAGGAAAAGATGTAAATAAGATTTAAGAGCTAATACTATAAAACTCTTAGGAAAAAATACAGAAGTAGATCTTCATGACCTTGGCTTAGGCAGAGCCTTCCTAGATATAACACCAAAAGTACAAGCAACAGAGAAAAAATAAATAGTTTGGACTTCATCAAAATTAAAAACTTCTGTGCTTCAAGTGTCACCATTAAGAAAGTGAAAAGACAGCCCACAGAAGGGGAGAAAATATTTCAAATCATATATTTAATCTGGTACTTGTATCTAGAAAATATAAAGAACTCTTACAACTCAGTAGTAGAAAGATAAATTACTTCCCCCCCCCAAAAAAATGAGAAAAGGATCTGTATAGACATTTGTTCAAAGAAGATACACAGTGGCCAATAAGCACATGAAAAGATGCTCAGCAGTAATTAGCTCAGGGGATGTACAAATCAAAAGCACAGTGAGCTACCACTTCTCACCCACCAGGACAGCTATAATTAAAAAGATATAGTATACAAGTATACACTAGGATGTGGGAGAGAATAGAAATCTCATATGCTACTGGTAGGAATGTCAATGTGGAAAACAGTCTGAAAGTTCTTCAAAAGGATAAACATAATCACCCTATGACCCAGCAATGCTACTCCTAGGTTGTATATCCAAGAGGAATGAAAACTTAGGTCCACACAGAAACTTATCTGTGAAAGTTCATAACAGCATCGTTTATGACACCCAAATAGTGGAACCCAAGTGTTCATCCACTGATGAACAGATAAACAAAATGTGGCATATCCATACAATGGAATATTATTCAGCAATAAAAAAGTTCTAATATATGCTGAAATATGACTGAACCTTGGAAACATTATGCTGAGTGAAAGGAGCCAGATGCAAAAGACCACATATTGTACGATGCCATTTACAGAAAATCCAGAATAGACAAATCTATAGAAACAGGTTAGTCATTGCAGGGGTTGAGGGGGTGGCAGTTGAGAGAAATAGGGGGTATGTATAGGAATTCTCTGGGGGATAATGAAAATGTGCTAAAATTGTGCTGATGGTTGCACAACTGATTATTCTAAAATTCATTGAGCTTTTAAGTGGGTCAAGTATATGGTATGTGAATTATATCTCAGTAAATCTGTTATAATGAAAACAAATCCCCAAAACCAACCAAGGCTTAATAGAAGGAGCTAAGACCAATCCTTAAACAATTTTAGTCCCTAATCTGCCACTTTTAGTAGATAATTAGGAGCATGTTACTTAACCTTCCTGTGCCACAGGTTTTTCATTTGTTACTAATGAGATAGGGTAGGTGTATTAAATGAATTAATACTTGTAAAATGTCTACAGTGGTACCTGTCACATTGTAGGTGCTCAAGTAATTGTTAGTTGCTCTAATTGTAATAACTATTATTTATTATTAAGTGAAAATATGTCAAAGAAGAATTTGTGTAAAAAGTATAATTGGTTTAATTTTGCTATTGTTAAAAGAAGTGCTTAACTCTACCCCATAGTTTTTATGAGTAGCAAAAGTTTCATATTAAATATGAGGAATTCAAATAAATATTTCGATCACCCTAGACATGCAAGTTGAACTTGGCCGTTAATTAAATGGGTGGGGCCTGTAGCTTTCTGAACATGTTGTTTCCTAATAAGTTTAATTAATGCAACAGCAGGAATTCTTTACTCCTTGCTCAGGAATTACTGGTGGATTAGAAGCAAAGATGATAGAGGAGAGGTTTAGTTTTTCACGTGGCCATGTTGGCCAGTGGGAATCAGTTGAAGTCACTGCTTGATAGAGTTAAGCGGAGCTTAATCGTCCTCTGCCTTCCAGAGGGCACAGACAATGGCGACTGCAAGAGACCAGAGGAAGAACCAGACTAGGAGGTGTCCTGCAAGAGAGAGGCAAAGCCAGAAAGTGGTGTGTTTATGTCTTTTTAGTTTTCTGTGAAGAATGAGAAAGGGCTGAATGTTCACTTTCACTAATTCTAACACTTTGGAATATGTTCTTATGAGTGGATGAGACATAAACATGCAAAGACAACATAAACACACAGGAAAAGATTAAGGACCTTGATTATACACAGCAAAAGTAGATAGATAGTCCCTGATAAATTAAGAATTAATTGTAGTGCAGAAATCAAAGATCATTGTTAGGGTGATACAAATTTACATGAGTTACCATTTATATTGGCTTGTACATTTAGATTCTTGGAAACCAAAGCTCTGGGTGTGTCTGTGTGTGTTTGTGTTTATTTAATAGCTGATATTTCAGGCTGGTTGAGGAATTAAGTAAAATATGAAAGTGGTAAGTAAAGAGGATTTTTATTTAATTTTATTTTTACTTTACATATTTCTTGAGGTTAAAGCCAGATATACAGGTAGAAAAATAGATATAGGTGCTGTGGATTTTGCAGAATGTGCATTTTGTAGTTTTTTTCCTATCAGTTAGAAAAAGATCCAAAGAAAGTGTGGCTACTTTACAATATGGAAAATTGAGTGATGTTGTGCTTATGGGACTTAAGGGGCAAAAGCTGCTAAAACGCCTTTGCATGAGCTCATCTGGCCTCCTCACTAAAGGGGGCCTTTAGGCAATGTGTTTTAACCAGCTGCTGTGCAGCGAGAGTTCAGCAGCTGGTTTGAATTAGATTCGCTCTGCCAAATATTTCATGATCAAATCTGTAGGAAAAATTCTTCTAGACTTTATATTTTTTAATGTCTGACTTGGGATTAGCAGTCAAACTGAATATGGTAGAGTACACCCTGTCACTTTCCTTACACTCTGTCTTATTTGGATCATATGTGGAGTAGTTTTGGAACTTTCTTAACTCTTGCTGAGATAGCTAATGTGTAATTGGCATGTTGGTTCTCTGGGAATCAGCTCAGGGAGGCAGTTCTCAAACTATACTTCCATGGACCTCTAGGGATCCCCTCTTCAGGGTCTGTAAGTTCAAATTATTTTCGTAGTAAAATGCTAAGATGTTTGCTTTTTTTCACTGTTGACATTTGCACTAAGGATTGGTAAAGTTGCTGGTACCTTAGCATGAATCAGGGCAATTGGCACCAAACTATATGAACTTGCCAGGAGAAAAAATGTCAGTTTAACCTCAAAATGTCTTTGTTGAAGCAGTAAAATTTGCTAGCTTTATTGACTCTTGACCCTTGAATATTCCTCTTGTTAATAATCTGTGAGATGAAGTGGGAAGTGCTCACAGAGTGCTTCTGCTGCATCCTGAGATGTGATGATTGTTTCAGAGAAAAGTATGTGTGGTTGAGTTGCAAGCTGAACTAGCTGCTTTTTTCATGGAACAGTTTTTTACTTGAAAAAACAACTGACTGACGAACTATGGGTAG